ACCACTATAAACTGTATAATACGACCCATAAAATAGGTCCTCTCGCTCATTCGGCGTAAAACCCCACAAGGTTAGCGCGGGTAAAGGAGGGAGGCCAACAGTGCTACATGGACCTATTAGTTAGGTAGGAATAACGGGATAAACGAATAATGAACTAAAAAACAATATCTGTTTATCTGACACAGAGAATAGTGTAATAACAACAATATCTAATTACTTAAATGAAAACAATTTAAAAACTGATAACACGCTCGGTTGTTATAGGATAGCTGCAACGTATGTGTTCCTGCTGGCCGGCTCAGCTCACCTGTATTTATACCCTCTGTAACCCACGTGATCGGATCCATCTGTATCTCCATCACGTTTTACGTGGATGTAATTGCAGCAAGACTCTTTCCGCCTGGATCTACTTTCGCTTTCCATTACATTACCCACGCCTCCGGGTATAAGTGTCCCCACATACCAAAAATTCAAAAACAAAAGAATGCCTATAACAATTTGTTACTATTTATTAATGAAAGATAGGGATTACTTGATCCTTTGAAAGTCTTAAACACAATTGGAAGTTTGAAACTGTCACTCTCACTGTGTACTACTATTAGCCAACTACTTGTCGGCGACCTATTCAACCCACTGTTCAGTGATAACTTCCTTCACAATACGTTTTCCCTCTTTGTCGTATGTTATTGTCTGTTTCTTTGTCACGGTCTTGACAGGCGCTTCTGTCTGCGTGCTGGCATCAAAGCTCAGTCTGCTATAAATGAAGCCATGGACCCCAGTCATGGTGAATTGATCCGTGCTGCTCCTCTGTTCCCTGCTAGAACTGGGTTTAACTGCCTTAGGCCTTGAGGTGATACCAGGAAGTGGGGATGTGCGCTTCCTGACTGTTGGATCCTGGACTACTTTCCTGACATAGGGAACCTTTTCTTGGTTCACGGATGGCACCTCGGGTGTTGGCCCAGAATCTTTTGAGGTGGTTGCACTACTGTCTCCAACAGCTTCCATAACAACATCGCTTTCCTCCGGATCTGGAGCAATACTTCCATCTTGATCTTCCTCCTGTTCCAAAGGTAGTGGGCTGAGGAGTGCACCTGGATCTTGGTTTTCCCATTCGTCCTCACTTCCAGATGCTTGGTGAGTTTCATCGTGCCCAGTGCGTTTCACGTGTCTGTCCAAATCACACTTCTTAACAGCTGCGTAGTCACACCCTCTACATCCAAATTTCTTTAATGTTCTTTGCCGGTTTCCACATTCTACAAGGTGCTCTGACCACTCCGCCGTGTCATCGAACCTCGCCGCACACATTGGACAGCGGTTTTAACCATGATCCTGAAACATATAACGAAAAGAACCCGTGAATTTTCACTCGGGTAAATCAATTATCAACAAAATAACGCATAACTGCAATACATGCACTTGTGTCCCTAGCAGATAAAGTCGCGATGCCAGGTTGGAGGGTGTCTGTTACGTCGCGGACGATCGCGGGAGGGTTCAAGCCCCGTGACGGATGCGTCGCCGGTTTCGGTGTCTTCCACCAACTCTTGATGTTCGACGATGTCTTGGCTTTCTGTCCAATCTTCCCCATCGCCCTCCATAAGCTGGCTTTCTGGAGTTTGCACTTCGGTCTCGCCGCGCAGTATCTGTGACCGATGTCGCCTCATGCGGTCCACATGTATCACCTGTTGTTTTCCTCGGTACCCGCAAGGTATTTTGTACGTCACGTCCGTACACTTTTCAGTCACCTTGAACGGGCCCTGCCACATGGAGGTCAGTTTTCTTGACTTCCCAGGCTTGACGCGAGGAAAGAAGACAAATGCAAGATCTCCTGGCTGGAACTTGCTCCAAGAGACTTTTTGGTCATGATATTTCTTCTGTCTTCTCATTTCCCCTTCCGTGTGTAGTCTCACAAAGCGATGGGCCTCTTCCATTCGGTCCTGTAGCTCCCATACCCATTCATTTTGAGGTGTGGTTTTGCCATCTACTGGCATCTCGTACTGTATGTCCAGTGGCGTCGTAATCTCCCTACCAAGCATCAGGTAATTTGGTGTGCAACCCGTGGTCTCCTGCTCTACTGAGCGATAGGCCATTGTCACGTATGGTAGCAACTCATCCCAGTCTGTGTGGTGGTCGTTGACAAAAGCATTAAGCATTGTCACCAAGGTTTTGTTGAACCTTTCCACCATTCCGT